GGCGTTGGTGAAAGTCTCTTCGTCGTAGGAGATGTCGGATAGTCGTCGGCTCACCGAGTCGGGCAGGTTTTTGATGATGCTAGGCGGGTGGTTAGATCGCCTGTTGATGTACAGAGGTTGGTCATTCGGCTTTCGGTATGGCTGGTATTTGCCGTTGCTGAGGTTGAGGGTGATGTCCAGGAAATTGGCTACTTTAGTGTTGCAGGTATATATATATATCTTTAAGGTTCAAAATTTATACTTATGATCTATAACTGCTGCTTTTCTCGGAAAAAACGAAAATAAATCGAACATACCAATATTTTATATTTACTTATAGGCGTTTTAGTATTCGTTTTAATATATATATTTTAACAGAACACATGTGGGTTATATACCTTGTTACTAGAAACAGCGAATAGGTTGGCAATTCCTCTATCTTGGTGCGAGTATTATCCGTAACAGTTGGAACGCTATGCATGAAATAAACAAATGGCAAGCGTGAAGGTGGGATAATTCCCTTGAGGAAGTCAGCGTTAAGAAACTAATATATAAGCTAATATTCAAAATTAGTTAATTACCCATCAAGTTGATTGCATTATTTCCCGCAAAACTAGTAAGTAATTTCATGTATCGATGACTTCTTCGGTCATTTTCAGTGAATATCTATTAGGATGGTCTACAAGGTGACGAATCTTATTAACAAATTATATATTTTTGATCTCGGTGGCACAATTAACATGTTGACCTTTTGTAAATTTTTCATTAAAATGCATAGTAACATGCACACTTATTTCATAACGTTAATTTACTTAAGGATTGCCAAAAAGCGAACTTCTTCATTAATATCAGAGGACTTCTTCTGATAAAAGCAACAGGGAAAACAATACAATTTCAATTTGAAAATAATATAAATTTGCCTATTATGAAAATTATTGGTAGATTATTTGATTAAAATTGAAGCTACTTTAGGCCAGGCCCAAACATTGTGAAAGAGGACGTCTCACGAACATTCTGTCAGAATGATTTCCACGACTTTGCAGCAACAGAGAAAGGCCATCATAGTTGATAGTGTTGATAATTATGTTAATATCAACTTAGAGGGTAAAGATCATAACTGAAAATAAATAAATGGAATAAGACCCAAGGTAGAGACTTTTTACAGGGACCCCAAAATAAACAATGGAATCTATTCCAGGCATTCATCTTCTTTACTCGGTCCGGCCATAGTATTCTTTAAGAAGTGATTAAAACTTTGGTTAGATAGTTAAACTTTCTAATGTACAGATATTTCTGGTTTTATGTGTAAATTTTTAGACGATTTATTTTTTAATTTAAGTGCTTCTGCTCTGGCTGCCATGTATTTTTTTTATGTTAATAAAGTAGGCCTACACCATTTATACAAACTGATAGGCTTTGATGCAAACGAAATTAATAGAAGTGTCGAAAATACTATACAGCGCCCTCTGTGTTTTATGGGTCTCATGAAAATAGGATTGCAATTTGCACATTCTAGCACAAATAATAATGATAAATAATAATAATAATAATAATAATAATAATAATAATAATAATAATAATAATAATAATAATAATAATAATAATAATAATAATACAAAAATAATAATATTCATGCATGGAGATATGAAATTTTTTTTTCTTTTGTTGACCAAAGGTCATTTATTCACAATCAAATAGGCCTATCATTAACATTTATTATACGGTACATTATATTCATTAGCAATTCTTGGTGAATGTATGCAAGACAATTTTTCCCACTTGTTGACCGAAGGTCATTAAATTACTATTCAATCAAACTTATTTACAATCACATAATACATCATAATAAATACAATATATTAATTATTACAATGAAATAATGAATGATTAAGTCAACAGCAAAATAATAATCAGTCATATTGCTTAAAATAATCAGATTGTAATAACAATGTAATTGTAATAACAATGTGAATATAATGTAATATGATTATGTGAACTTTGCTTTCAAACGCATGTGTGTGAAACCCAGTTCATTTTATTAGACCACAATACATACAAGGAATAAATGAGTACATGTTTATGTTATTTTCAGATCGGTATAGTAATACTTCAGTATTCGAAATTGACTGCATCAGGATAAGAAGAATTACCAATCCGAAAAATGCAAGCAAATGGTAATTTAATAATTGGTATTTCATAACTTCAGCACGACTTAATATGTTTTGGAGATCCTGTCTTGCCGTTTTAAATGCTTAAAGCCAGGCTCCGGAGGGCAAAACATGATAATGTTGTACAACTGATTTTTGTAAAACGGGTGTTTGACGAAATACTCAGGAGAGAGGATAAGATACAGATTTTTGAATGATTAAAACGGAGAGAGGGTGGGTACGCCCCCTTTTCACCCTTTAAAATCATATACAAAAAATAATAGTCGAACGTTAACTGATACTGGACTCCGTTGTTTCACGAATACCGAGGCCAATAATGATAATAATAATAATAATAATAATAATAATAATAATAATAATAATAATAGGTATATATTATTATCATTATTATTATTATTATTAAATTGCAATGTTATAATCAGCATTATCATCGTTGTTGTTATGAATAGCTATTAATGTTTTTATTAGGTCATGATTGTGGCGGAATACAAAATATGCGGACAATATAGCCTAATTAATTATTGTTGACGTTGACAACAAAGGTGATTAAAATTACCTTTATAGTTTCATAAGACTGTTATTATTACCTGGCTTCCTTTTAGTGTCTAATCCTGAAACAACGTATACACACTCAATCTTGGCCAGACTTGGATTATTTAATCTAATACCAATATTCAAATGCAAAAAAAAAACCCAAAAAAAAAACATGCCGGTTACAACGTATGTCAGGATTTTACTTGTTTAGTTCTTGACAGTAAAATGTGTGATGAATGGTGTTAGCGTAAACAATGGTCCGTGTCGCGCTTGGCTCAACCCCTTATAAAGGCTAGTTTATTAAAGTCGTGTGTTTTTGAGAGACTTAAGGCCAACTCAGACAGCGTCGGCCGACGCAGCCCGACACGATTTATCGTCGGCGACAGTCTTAAGCCGTCGTGAGAAATATTAAACACGTTTAATATTCTACTACAACTGCCCCCGACGCACACCATCGCGTCTGCGTTCAACTCACACAGACCCGACGCGACAACAAATCGCGTCGGGCTGCGTCGGCCGACGCTGTCTGAGTTGGCCTTAACACTCATGCGTCCTCTTGTCATTTAAGCCTGGCACTCACTGCGTCGTACGACGGTCACACGACCGTCCGCGACGAATACAACCCCGCTCCCTGTGAGCGTTTGGCGACGCGATGCCGTCAGCTGGTTGTCGGTGACAGTCTGAACGTATCGTCATTAAAAGCTTTCCGTTGCGCGCGCGTCGTGGCGTTGCGTTCTCCATATATCGCGTCGGCCGTCGACCGTCGGGCGCAGTGAGTACCTGGCTTAAGATATATGGACCAATGACGATGCAAGCGGGAGTTCAGTGGAGACATTTTTCTACGTCGGGTAAGCTGGCCTTCCCCCTCAAATTTTGGCAGCCCGTCGTCCGATGCCACAACGAGGTCGACGGACTAAAATTTTTAACTAATAAATTTTCGATCTAAAGAACATACAATTTTTCTCCATAAGCCTGCACGGGGATGTTATTCCGATAGCCTGATCTAAGCGCTAGGCAACCCCTTTGCTCAGAACCTATGCCCGACGTCTTTGACCCCCCTGTTGCACATTTCCTGAGGCACTGTTGTAAAAAGAGGTCTTTTTCTGTTGCCGGCTCCAAGCATTGCCCAATCTGTTCACATGATCAGTCTTCAACTCTGCTGGTTTTTTCCACCGTCTTAAATCATTCTTATTCGACAACTCTAATTTCCCCATGGTCTTGACGCCTACTGTTTTATTCTCAATTTCCTCCTTTTTAAAAAAAATATATTTTCCATTGTAACGATATTCTTGTCTAGTTCTTGAGTTGTTCTGATAATCCCATAGAAACTAATGCAATAATATGCGCTAATTCAGATGAGCATGGGTAATTTATTTCCATAAAAGCAATATTTCACCATTATTATCATTTATAATATGTGCTTGTTATGTTATGAAGTTAAAGAATAGATTGTAGACTTAAAAAGACTGAGAAGGTAAAAAATACATCAGTAGCATTTAACCCATGTTGTAGCATAAATTCATACAAAACACAACCATGCTTATTTTAATTTTCGTCCGACGAATATAACTCCGTTACCTTGAGTGTTTGATGACGCGACGCCGTCTGCTGATGTCGGTGACAATCTGAACGGATCGTCATTACAAACGATCCGTTGCACGTGCGTTGTGGCGTTGCGTTCTCTATAGAATCCCGTCGGGCGCAGTGAAGTGCCTGGTTTAAGACATATGGCCCAGTGACGATGCAAATGGGAGTCATGCTTGCCTTCCCCCTCCCCTTACCCCATCGGTCAAATTTCGACCGCGTCATCCGACGCCACAACGAGGTTGTCGGGCTAAATATTAAACTAATAATTTGCCGATCTGCTCTTGACTTTCATTTTATTCTCATTTTCTTTTTCTTTATTTCTTTTTAAATCTAATTTCCCCTATTTTGTCTTAGTATTCTTGTCTAGTTCTTTCATTGTGCTGATAAGCCCATATAAACTAATGCAGTAGTATGCGCTATACAAGTTTACAGCCATGAGCATGGGTAATTTATTTCCATAAAAGCAATACCCTAAAACCTCGAATACAAGCCCAATGGGCTTCATTTCGAATTGAAGCCCCTCTCTTTAGTTTGCAAAAGTAGCCTCGAAAAGAAGCTTATCTCGATACAAAAGTTCATGGGCTTCTTTTCAAGATAGCATGGGTTTTTTTTGAGATAGTATTGAATTAATACAGATTGATGTTACAGTAGCCCTATGTATTGTTTTATTGTATGACATACGGTAATGTATACAAAATATATAACATAAAAATAATTAAAATTGTAAAAAAAAAGTACTTATGGCGTTCAAAATAGTGTATTAGAGCACTCCTGTGCTCTTCCTCAGTGATAACGTCGAAAGATTTTGAGCATTTGAGCAACACCCGACCATGCCCACTTTGCTCATGTTGGGAACATAGGCTCTCTGTCTAGGACTTCGGTCTCCGCCTAGGGGACCTCGGCCTCCCGTCGGACAAATCCTGGCGCCACCCCTGGCAAGCAACTTAATCACCAGTATCAGTTAAATTGTGTATATTCAATACGAATCTGGTTTGTGTACATTTTAAGGGGGTTTCTGAATCCATAAAGTATTCTTTTGAATTATAGGCCTACTGTATTTGAAAAATCCAACGAAAAAAATGGCAATTAGTTTAAAATTCTGTTTTCAATTGCTCGGTATTCAATTTCAATGAATTAAATTTTTGCACAAAGTAGAAACGTATTATACAGACATAAAACATATTTTAATTCGAATATTTCGAGCACTCCTCGTCTCTGCTCTTCCTCAGCGATAACGGATATAAATATATTATATATAATATAGGCCTATATATAGGCCTATATAATATATATATATATACATATATATATGTGTATTATTTTTATTATATATTGTTAAACATGCATAACGTTCATCTATTTGGTGATGCACACGCCCTTCATTGCGTGGTAAAGTTAAAAATCACTTCTCACAAGCACATTATCACCTTAGATAAAACAAATGCATTTTAATTATATCTGACAAGACTTATATTTGTAACCGTTTATTATCGAACATGCATCACGATGAAACTATGCTGACGGCTTGCGCAAAGATCAACACTTAATTTCAATTGAAATATATGTATCCTACGGTGCTAATTCAAATAGCAAACTTCTATATTAAATATCGTGAAAATTCAAGTCGATCATCTTCACTTCAGTAAACACCTCAGAAAATCTGTTGGCTTTCTAATTGACAGACCTTTCGAACAGTGATAATTATCGTTATCGTCACGGGTTCTACTATTATTATTAAGCCCAGGTAATTGGAAGACACTGCGAATTCAACCCTCTCGACGTTTAAAGAAAACAGGCTGTCAACATAGGCATATTCTGAATTCATTAATATTCAATTTATTCTGACGGAAATTGGCGATTTAATTTCTCGTGAATAACGTCAATTGACCTGCAACAGATTGTTCTTAAGCAATCAATATAACTTTTCTGTAATTTCAACAGGTAAAGCCAAAGCCGCGTTAATTCTTTTGTCTCTTATTGCAAGGATCAAAGTTATGAAGTATTTCTGTATAAGTTCCTGTCATTCAGCTAGGACAGAATAATAGTGACGAAACGCACAAGGTGACGAAAAACGTTAATTTAATTAATTAGTTTCTCATACTCATACTCATACTATACTCATAGCATAACATTTATATAATGTTTAGGCCTACATCCAATTGGTTGCAATTGATTTCACAACGGCCCTGGTATTCAAACCATGAGTTGCGGCCTTAAGTAGGGTCACCGATATATTTAGTAGGGTCACCCAGAATTTATAAAAAAAATATAATGCACAGTATTTTAATACTGACAAAGTTTAATGTGTGCGTCTGCGAAAAATCATTGTTGTTGAATAAGACTTGACATCCTTTCCTTCTGCATTGTTTCGTATGGCCTAATGTTATTGATAGGCCAAGTGTAGATTGTGCACAATTTCACTTATTCGATATCAAAATTTTACTTTTTTAATGTATTGTATTATGTTGAGAAAAATAATTGAAATAAAATTAAACCCGGAGATTAATTTAATCGAATAACGTTTGTCTACAGTAACAGAATTCGATAGGCCTAGAAGTGTGGAGATACGGATCATAAACGGTTGAAATTAAGACAAAAATGCCTCTAACAATAGCTTTGTAAACTTCGAAGTTGAGATTAATGGACAAGCTGAACCCATTTTATAATATCTGTTTTGCATACATAGGGGCTTTTTACACCGCTTTTGTTATGAAGCTGTTTGTTTTGAAGTAGTATTATAGCCACTATATCACAATGAAAATGTAGGCCTATTTGAATCGTGTGCTTTTTAACGTTTCTGAATCCATGTAGGCCTATGTTCCGAATACAAAGTTTCTAAATATTTACAAGATGATCAAGCATGTGAATGCATGTTAATCAGTCAA